ATCGAATGATTTTTTTATCAAAAAGTTACCTCAAAGAAATTTTTTGAACACCAATCGATCCCCTCTCTGTATGGATCGATCGATACAAGTTTATAAAGATAGGATCGATCCTTTCTTTGTAGACATTGATTGGTTTTTTATCAGAAGCAAAAAATGGTTTCAATACATGAAAATAGATCGATCATCTAGCCTAGGAGATTGATCACCTTACAAAAGGAATAGATTGGTACCCATTATAGATCGATCATATATGGCTTTTCATGCAAAAATTTGTTTGTGTTTCAACTGACCCAAGCAATCCCCTATATGAAAGGATTAATCCCCTTATGCCCAAAAAGCAAGCAATGACTATTTTTGTCTAAAATTTTGTAGATGCTCCAAACATTTAATGTAAGCAATGGCTATCTTCCACTCCCTATATATAAAAAGAGCTCTCCCACCACATTTCAAGTAACTAAAAGCAAAAAAAAAAAACTCATTGCTTCCATCCACCATCTTTTCCAATAATTAAATAGTATTTGTTGTGTAAAAAGTGTAAAAAATTCATCTTGTATTTATTTGTCTCTTGATATTATTCTTAATCTTGATTTATGCTTTAAATTAACAGATACACAATCTTAGAAAATGTTTTTTGAGTTTGCAAAATACTTCAAATATTATATTGTGAGGTTGTGAGTTTATGAGGAAGGATAACCCTTAAGAGGTTGTGTTATTGATTGTATAGAGCTTTGAAGAGCTAAGTTGTAACATTCAACACATAATGGATTGGATTCTTTGACAAATGAGATTAAGGGATAGAACGTAAGTGCCTAAATGAAGGACTAACCTTTATAAATTTCATTGTTTGATTCTTTATCTTTATCTCTTTGCTTTCAAGATTATTAATATACATATATTTTTTGTATTTATTTGCTTAAAAAAGTCGATTTGTGAATTTTGTATTCATTGAATTTTAAATTTAAAAAATTTATAATCAATCAATTCACTCCTTTTCTTAGTTTAATTCAAGTTTTTGAGCTAAAACATAAACAAAACATACTTGGGAACATAGATCTCTTCAAATTGATAAAACATCCTATACTAATCTTTGCCTACTTGCCATCTAAGTCCTATAAAACATAGATCCAAAAATGGTAATCCTTTCATTGTGCAAAAATCTAATATAAAAAAAAAAAAGATTAGGAAGCTATGCGACCGATCGTAAAGATAAAATCCTCAGATAGAGAATCATGGAAGATAAATCTGATCTGAAGGAAGAAAAAAAAAAGAAGAGATCAGAGCAAAACTTTTCTCAAACAAAGCCTAAGTATATAGTGGCTTTTTGAAGAATGGGCGATCAAGATATAGAGTGTTTGAAAAATAAATTGATAACATACGTCCAGGTGTATTAAGCCGGTTTTTTTTTTCTTTTTTTTTAGAAAATTATGTTGCAGAAGGAATGGAAAAAATAATTTGCCAAAACCATTCAATAGTTGGGGGCCACGTAAGTGTATGAGTTGGGTTCATGTTAACGTTGTGAAATTGCATTGTGGTTACGCAAATTGGGTTAGGTTCGTTCTCAATCTTATCTGACCTTGTCAATGAGAAAATGACTCGATAGCCCTTGGGAATCTTTCCATCTGAAACACAATCAAATTGTACTACCGTCTTTCAGCTTGTTTGTTTCATGAGATTGCTATTTCATTTTAGAATGTTTAAAATTTGGAACTATTTAATTTTTAAAACAAGATTAATTTTTTAGCCAAATGTTTATTTGAGTAATTCTATTTTGTTTTCTGTTTTCAGAAAAAGATAATGAAAAGAAAAACAAAAACTAAAAATAAAAATAAAAAGCATTTACTTAAACTACTTTTTTGTTATTCATAAAATAGAAAAGAAAAAAAATAACTACATTCTAATTATTCCATTTCCATTTACTTCAACTTGAATAATAGTCGATGGAAATTTTATTTTATTTTTATGTTTCTCTTTTTATTTAAAAATAATTAATTACATTTTTATAGATAAATTCAAAAAATATATAAATCATATAATAGATAATATTATATTACAAAATACAAAAATGTTGATAAGTGTGGTTTATATGGACATTTACGTATATAGTTTTATTATTTGACACATAAGAAATTATTTAAAAAATTTTATTTATGTGGATATTTATATTGATAACTTTTAAATTATTGACAACAAAATTTAATTTAAATATGTTTTTTAATTAAATGAATTTTTTAATAATCTATAAATATATTTTTTAAATTTAAGATTTTTGAATGTAATAATACTTATCTTTTAAAGTTTTATTTTTTTGACATATAAGAAATTACTCAATAAATTTGCTTATTTATATATCTTTACGTAAATAATTTTAAAATTGTTAGTGATAAAATTTAATTTAAATATATTATCTTTTTAAAATCTCATAATAATCTAAATATATTTTTAAATTTAAAAATTATAAATTTTATGATATATTATTTCTTAAAACATATTTTTTTAATAAATATATATTATTACAAAGTATATTACCATATAATATGTAGATGCGGACATCTATATAGACAAATTATTTTTATGATATGTAGGATATATTTCAAATTCAAATAAAAAGTTAATATTTATTTTTAAAAATTTAAAAATATCTAAAATAGACATCTAATCTAATACACATTGTAATCACAAATCAATATGCAAATAACTTTTTTTAAAAATTTAAAAATCTCAAATATAATTTTTATCTTCATAAATTTCCTTATAATTATCTCTTAGTATTTGATTTTTTTAAATTAAAAAATACACATATCACTTATTATATATTATTTTTAAATTCAAAAGATAGTTAGCAATTCTAAAATCATCCATGCCTCTTTTTGTCATTCAAAATTCCTCTATGTACATCGTGTATCCTTCATCAAAATTTTTTATTTTCAACTTATTTTAAAGGTATATTACTATTGAGATCATATATTTTTTCAATTTATTTTCATTTTGATATGCATCTGCTAAATATTTACATGTATTATTCAATAATTTAATTAAGATTATGAAAGTTTTTATTTTTTAAAATAATATGCTTTGTTCTTCTTAAAAAACAATTCTATGTAGGTTAATTTTTTTTTTTTTGTATACATCTTCTTATCTTTTTAATTTTTCAACATTTTGATTAAAATTATAATAGTAATATACATCAAATAAATTTTTATAATTTACCTTTTTATTCAAAATTTTCAAAAAAAAAATACCACAAGAAATTATTTTCTAAAGACTTCAATGCTGACATAGTTCACCGGTGAGCGCACGACATAATAAAATTCAAAGCAAATTCAATTCAATTTATTATCTTTTTATTTTACTTATTTATTATGATATTTATAATAATAATAAAAATAAACATAAATCTAATTTATATTTATATATATATATTTAAATAAATAAAATTAATTCATATATAGCACATATTATAATCTATAGGATTAATAATTTAATAGTATATGTTATCCATATGTTAAAGCTGAAATCTTACGTTGTTACTCGTTACTGTCCATATTCTGCTCAGGACAAATGTCTTGTTGTCAGTGCTATTTTCCTATGCAGGTCTGTCTCACTCTCACCCAAGCCCGCGTTTGCAGCTCAACCAAACTCTACCTTAAAACTTTTTATCCTTTCCTGAATAGACATTTGTTCCCTCGAAGCAAACAGAGGAAGAAAGGTTATTTCTTTGGCAGCCTCTTACTTCCACATCCAAACAAATCTCTCCACAAATTTTAAAATTTTGTGGCTTTGGTATGGAAACTCTACTATGGTGATGGCGGCCAAAAAAACATAGATAAACGACATCGTGTGTGTTGCCGTGTTGGTTATCCTACCAATAACACAACATCGTTTTGATCGTCCGTTCCACGAGTGGTGAAAACTTAAACCCCAAACCAAGTGGGTGACAGGGAAGGCAGAAAAAAAAAAAAAAAGGAATGGAGGCGAGACTCTCTGCAACTTTGGGTCTCCCTTCTCCTGACCCATATCACCATCCGCCGATCACCACCGACTTCACTTCCCCTTTTCACCCATTTTACCGTTCTCACTTCATCCACCCAAAACCCTGAAAACCCACTCAAACCTCCCCCAAATCACCTCTGCTTTGCCTCAATCTCCCTTTCTGCAGATCCCCAACCAAATTGGCTGAAACCCAATTCCCAAAAACCAACGAAATTTGAAATCCCCCTCCATTTTGCGAACTTAACTGAATCATCACAACCGAAATCGCCTAAATTTCCCAAATGGCTAAAACCCACATCGAGAAATAGCCCCAACGTCCAAGCCCTTATGAAAAACTTTTCAGTCTTCGGAAGAGCTATCATCGGTGCAGGCGGTGGTGGAATTGCTATTGCATTTACTTACGTATGCCTTCACCCCCTCGATACCATCAAAACTAAAATGCAGACCAAGGGTGCTTTGCTTATTCCCCCAACTGCTGGTGCTGTGGGAAACATTGTTTCATCAGCTATCATGGTACCTAAAGAATTGATTACTCAAAGAATGCAAGCTGGTGCTAAAGGAAGATCACGAGAAGTATTGTTGAGAACTTTAGAAAAAGATGGGATTTTGGGTCTTTATGCTGGTTACTCAGCCACTTTGTTGAGGAATTTGCCTGCTGGGGTGCTAAGTTATTCCCCTTTTGAGTACTTAAAAGCTATGGTTTTAAGTAGGACTAAGCAGACTAATTTGGAGCCAATTCAGAGTGTTTGTTGTGGTGCTTTGGCTGGTGCAATTTCAGCTTCTTTGACAACTCCACTTGATGCGGTGAAAACAAGGTTGATGACTTAGGTTTATGGGAATAAAGTTGCTGCTGCTATGTGTAGGGGGATTAATGCGATGGTGAAGCAGATCTTAAAGGAGGAAGGTTGGATTGGTTTGACTAGGGAAATGGGGCCTAGAGTTGTTCATAGTGCTTGTTTTTCCGCATTGGGGTATTTTGCATTTGAGACTGCTAGGCTTACAACTTTGCATCAGTATTTGAAGCAGAAGGAGAAGGGGTTGTCTGAAATCAGTGTTGCTCTGGCTTGATTTACAGTAAGTTGGTGATAATGCCAAACATTTTCTATATTTTGTTATATTTGTTTCCATAGTAGTTCAAACAAATTGATTTTTGGCATTACGTTATCTACTGTTGGTATACACAGGTTGTTTCTTGGTTAAAGTTTCTGTTTTTCCAACTAATAATATATTGCCAATGAAAAATAAGTTTGATTGATGTACCAATGCATGAAGAACCTTCTTTTTCCTCAATACCTTAGGTTCAATATGCTGAATATTACTTTTTTCTGGCTCTAATTTTCTATACAATCTTTACTAGTCCATGCGCATTTTAAGTTTTCACTTAAAGAATAAGGACCATTTAAAGTAATTGTATCAAGTGCCTAAGACTTCCAAGTTGACTAGGTAGTAATGGTACTTTTCTGGTAATTTCTTCTTGTTGTCTTTTAGATCAATCTTTTATGGATTGGTGGTGTGTTTTAGTTAATCTATTCACAATGATTAATAGTGTTCCATTTAGGGTGCTGTTTGTAATTTAGATTCTTTTTATTAAAAGATAATTGTAGCTTCACAATTTGTGGCCGATCTCCATCATTATAAAGTTTTCTGGTGTTAAGTAGCAAGGAGATAAATGGGTCATATGGGTTTGAGATACATCATTTGCAATGGTTTGTATTTTCTTTGAGATAAACGCAATCTATCATTGTTTTTCCCCTACAAAATTTCCCTGTCAAGTTATGCATGAAGACTGCTTATAGAATCAAGCAACAATAACTAATTCTTTTTGTGTAAAATTACATTAGCTAGAATTGTTTTTATCCTACTTTGGGTATCAAGTTGGCTATTAAATATGAAAGGAAGGTACTTGTGTATTTATAGAATTTTACTGTAATCAAGCTAGATTATATATCCATTGCACAAGGAGTGAAAACTCTCCAACTTATTTCTAATGCTAGAAAATGACCTAGTCAGTTCATATTTATGTGACTAAATGCATGAATGAATGAAAATTTCCCTGCTGCTGTTGGTGGATGCGATGCATTTATCCCTTTAGAAACTCTGGATTTGATTATCTTTGCAAATCTTTCCGTGCTGTTGAATGGTAAAGGGGAGAAATGGCTTCTTTAAGTCTCGGTATGAGTTTGGCTTCATGATTTCTCATGTGTCTGATGGCCTTTTGGCTTTCGCTTTTGGAGTTCATCTGATAAAAGTAAGGCCTAATATGACTAGTCTTGGTCTCGTAACTTCCCAAGAACCAATCTTTGCATCCCGCCCTTAGAGCCTTAACCAAATCCCTACACATCATCTTGACGTTCCCTTCCCCTTCTTTTTGCATTACCACCAAAATTTTGGTTAACCCATTCCCTTCAACCACCTCTTCTTTCACTTTCTCATCTTTGCTCAAGCAACACATGCTCCACAACACCAATATGGCATCCTCCGTCGCCGTTTTTGACACCTTCAGCAACTTTTCCACTATCGCCGCTGCACATTTCGGTTCCGAACTGATCGCTAACCTCCCTTGGCTGCATTTGCAAAGTATTGCTAACAACTTCAATGACTTTTCGGTTAGGAAGTTTGATAGGAATCCAACGGCGCCGTTTTGGATTAAGTGGGACTTGACTGAACGAGTTATTGAAACGGTGGTTAAAAGGGAGATGACGGCGTCATTTAAGGATTGATTGTTGTTGCTGGTTTTGAGGAGATGGAGAAGGGTGGATATAAGGTTTTGTGAGTTGGCAATTATTTGTTTGGATTCTGAGTCGAGTGCGAGTGAGTCCAGAATTTGGACAGATATGATCTTCGAGTCGAGGCTTCCATTTTGGAGAATTGGAATGATTGTAGAAAAGAAATTGTTTTCCTGATTGCTTTTGAGGATTAGTTTGTTTAACCGTTTTTTGACTCCGTTTTCACTCAAAATCAAATCCAAAATCTTAACCGCCATTACCAAAGCCTCGATTTCCACACATTTCCTTCTCAAAACGCCGGCAATTACCTCAATAAAACAGCCGAATCCAACTACAAATCTCCGATTCTCTTCACAACAGCTTACAAATTCGGCAACCTTAGACAAAGAATCGACACAGCTCTCGCTCTCAATCTTTTCTATCAATAGCTTAGCTTGAACCTCCGATATGACAGTAGGCGCCGCCTGAAGCAGCCGTGGAGAGTCAGAACCTGGCCGGCGAGTGGAAGATTGGACCCAGAGGTTAATTAGACGATGGAGAGTGAGGTTAGGGACGAAATCCTTAGAAGATAGAACCTGCATGGTGGCAGGGCACGTGTCGTGACCGGAATCGAACCATTGCTGGATGCTTGAACGATCGTAGGTAATGCCCGTACAGAGGCTAACCGGGGACTTCATTATGTCCAGTGAGATTGGACACCGGAAAAAACTCGGTACGGTTATGTACAGTTCCTCCTTCACCATTTTTTACTTCTTGATTTTTGTTTCAGAGAAACAAACAAAAATATTGGTTTTTTCTTCTTTGTTTTTCCATAGAGCCCCGTTTAGAACGAGTTGGAGAAGAGGTGGGGAAGGGGAGGCATTTAATGGAGAGGGGGGGGAAGGGGAGGCATTTAATGGAGAGGGGAAAGTGTCAAAGGGTACGTGACGTGACGTCGTTTTGAACGTGTTATTTTGAGAGGGGGGATCGTTGGTCAAATGCAAGTCTCATTTTGAATTTATTTTTTCGTTTTTTTGACTTCTTATACTGAATTAGAATTTTTTATGGCTTAAATATTAAAAAAATTCCTAAATTAAAATGAAAAAAATCGGAACTGTTATCTATTTATTTTATTACAATAAAAGAATCAAAAGATAGTTTGAATTATTTTTTAATTTTAGTTTAAATATTTTTTTTTACATTTAATCATTTATTTATTTAATAAATTTATGTAGGTGCGCACTGGAAACGAGTGGGCTACAAACGTGGAACAAGGGCCAAAACGGAAGACTATTCTCTTAGCGTAGTCCGAAAACAGAAATTGTAAATTGAAGAATTCAAGGTATGAAATATGAAGCAGAATAGCAATGTTGAATTTTCTCTCATTTTATTTATTTAATATACTCATAATATAAGAAGGTAACTTTTGAATTAAAATGTGATCTACGTCGTCCAAGATACTAAAGCAGTAATTCTTAAAATGGCATTCAAATTCCTTATTCTAATCCTACTAAACAAGCATTTACAGTCCGCAAAACTTTGATTCGATTCAAAAGTTAAACTTGTTACTGTTTATTGTTTAACTTTCTCTTTAACACTTTCATAATATAGTTTTCTTTTAGGTAATAAAAATTATCATGTCTTTTTCACATTTTTATTTATTTATTTATTTATATATATCAAGTATGAAATCGGTAATGCGTCTAATAACATTAACCCAATGACCATCAATCTTATGAACTTGATTATAATCTTTTCAAATTAATTGATACTTTTATGTGTACGATTATTATTACTAATTTACTCCCGAATAGAGAGTTAGTTGAAATAAATTCTTTGTGAAATTTAAATCAATCTAGAAACTCACTATTTGCTTGTCAATAGAGAATAACGTGCTTGACTTTGAATAGAATTGAATAGAAGAAGTTCCAACACAGGTGGTAAACAAGGTTGACTAGACTGCTTTCACAAGTCGAGATTAGTGTCAGTGTTTCATATTATTTTAATACACAATTGAAATTTTGAGTCATGTGCTGAAGGGAAAGCCTTAACCATGTGCTTTCCTTTACGTTATTGTCACGATTAATAATTTATCAATTTTTTATTACTATTTTACTTTTGAGATGGGTTTTTTAACCTCACTCTGTTATCTTTATCTAGAATAATGGGATTCAGCTGGCTTAAGAGTTTGAAACAAACCAGCGGTCATTATTTGGAAGTAGAATCTCTGTACAACATTTGATGTTATTTTTAAAATTATCATAATTTAATTATTACGAAGATAAGATGATTAAGATTATTTTATCACTATTTGATCTTAAATTATCATATTTAGTGTTATATTATAAAATTATTATTAATTTTAAATTGTTATATTTAGTTTTATATGAAAAAATAAATCATAAAATAAAAAATATTCAAAACAACCTTATAAAAAATAAATATTAAATATTTATTAAATTAACAATTTATAAAATAATTAAATAATACTTTATAAAAAAACAAAATATAAATCAATTTTTATTAAAATAATTTCTAAAAAATTATTAAATAAATTCGTTATATTTTTTTAATCAATAAATATTTATTTAATTGTAACAAAAAACCTTTTTAAAATGAGTGATTAGAAAAGTTGGTTTTTGAAAATTTTTATTGATCAACTTCTTGGACTAATGTTATTATATTTTTTATCATGCTAAAATTAATCAAAAATAATATTAAAAATTATTTTTCCATGATGATAAAAATTTTTTATCATTTAAATGGGATTGAAATAATTTTTCAAGGTAATGATCTTATTAATCCAGTGATTTAATAGTTGAAACATGTCCTAAATAATTATAATATTTTTTTTAACATAATTACATAAATGTCCATTTTATTTTAAATTAGTTTAAATATGATTATGCCCTTCTTACCATAATTGGCAAAATTACTATGATACCTTTTTACTAACATAAACATGAAAATGCCCTCCTACCATAATTTTTTTAGAATTACTACAATACTTTCTATCATAATTATAAAAATACTTTTTTTATCATAATTGATCAAAATTATTATAATACTCTATATCATCTGAAACTATATATAAAAGTAATCTACCAAGAATATGACAATTTTGTCATTTCAATTTTTTAATAATTACTTGACATGCATACAAAAAGATGATAATGCCTTCATATGTAAATAACAAAAATAACCCTCTTTTAAATGATAAAGTACTATCTCTCTTCTCTTAAATAACAAAAATACCGATCTTATAAATATCAAATCACTATAATGCTCCTTATGTTTTAGCTATAACTATATAATGAAAGTATCTATAACTATATTATAGATACAATTATGCCCTTTCAATTATTTGCTAATTACTTGACATATGTATAAATTTATTGCAATGTCCTTTTTTTTTTAATAATCAACCAAAATTACTATAATACTTGCCCATCATAATTACTGAAATACTGCTATCATCATAATCATATAAATGCCCTCCTATTATGATTAGCCAAAATTATTATATTGACCCTCATCCATAATTACAAAATTGTTTCTTCTAACATAATTGATCAAAATTATTTTAATACCTTATTAAATTACATATTTATAACTATAATTTAAAGTAAACCCCCACCAAAATTACATTAATACCTTTTTGATTGTTTCATAATTCGTTGACACGTGGCATTTTATGTCACCTTTACAAAATTTATAAAAATGTCCTTCTATATCTATTTAATCACATCATATAAATTACTATAATGTCTTTTTTTCTCATATATAACCAAAATTACTATATTGTCACTTTTGTCATAATTACGAAAATATATCTTTTACTATAATTAGTCAAATTACTATGATGCCCCTTCGACCATAATTATGAAAATATTCCTAATATTATAATTAGACAAAATTGCTATAATACCCTCTTATTACAAATACGAAAATATCCTTTTAATTGCTTAATAATTACATATTAAATTTGAACATCTGTACAATAATATAAAAGTAATTCCTTCAAAAATGACTATAATGCATTTCTAATTACTTGACAATAAAACGACACGTGTTTAAATTGATTGTAATGTCCTTTCTTCTATAATCAACTAAAATTACTATAGTGTCCCTCTTATAATAATTATCATAATTACTAAAATATCCTCTTATTTTTAAAAAATTAAGTTGAATGGGTGATGATATTAATGACCTTTGATTTCATGAGTAAATGGGCTTGAATTTGATATTTGATCAATATTGATAATAAGTAAATACTATATCGATAGATAGGATTGTCACGTATGTATTATTGGGTTTGGATTTAATTTATATAATTTTTTAAAGTAGTCTCCCTTATTAAAAGTAGAAGCCAACACCTATCCAATTGCAATTGAGTGATACAATTAGACATCAGTATATTCTTTTCAAGAGACTATATTTTTCAAAAATAAAAAAATAAAAACCCAACAAAATACTAAAAAAATTTAATTTTTTAATTTATTATTAAATTAAAAAATTAAAAATCTTTGTAAGTAGGGCTTAGTCGAGTTATTTTTTTAGTAATTTATTAAGAGAGCCTTTCAATAAAAAAAATAAAGTTAAGATATATATATATATATATATATTGTAAACCCCCACCACAATTACATTAATACCCTTTTGATTGTCTCATAATTCGTTGACACGTGGCATTTTATGTCACTTTACAAAATTTACAAAAATGCCCTTCTATATCTATTTAATTACATCATATAAATTATTATAATGTCTTTTTTTCTCATAAATTACCAAAATTATTATACTGTCACTCTTGTCATAATTACGAAAATATATCTTTTACTATAATTAATCAAATTACTATAATGCCCCCTTCGACCATAATTATGAAAATATTCATAATATTATAATTAGATAAAATTACTATAATACCCTCTTATCACAAATACGAAAATATCCTTTTAATTGCTTAATAATTACATATTAAATTTGAACATCTGTACAATAATATAAAAGTAATTCCTTTGAAAATGATTATAATGCATTTCTAATTACTTGACAATAAAATGACACGTGTTTAAATTGATTGTAATGTCCTTCCTTCTGTAATCAACTAAAATTACTATAGTGTCCCTCTTATAATAATTATCATAATTACTGAAATATCTTCTTATTTTTAAAAAATTAAGTTGAATGAGTGACGATATTAATGACCTTTGATTTCATGAGTAAATGGGCTTGAATTTGATATTTGATCAATATTGATAATAAGTAAATACTGTATCGGTAGATTAGATTGTCATGTGTGTATTATTGGGTTTGGATTTAATTTATACAATTTTTTAAAGTAGTCTCCCTTATTAAAAGTAGAAGCCAACACCTATCCAATTGCAATTGAGTGATACAATTAGAACATCAAATTTTTTTTTTCAAGAGATTATATTTTTCAAAAATAAAAAAATAAAAAACCAACAAAATGCTAAAAAATTTAAAATTTTTAATTTATTATTAAATTAAAAAATTAAAAAATTTTGCAAGTAAGGTGTAGCCGAGTTAGTTTTTTAGTAATATATTAAGAGAGCCTTTCAATCAGAAAAAAAATGAAGTTCAGTTATATATATATTGTATTATATTAAACCATTATCAGTTTTTTTTAATTATTACAATTATAATCAAATATTATATTTATATAATCAATTGAATAATTAATTTTTATATCATAATCAAGTTATAATTACTAAATAATTAACTAATAAACTAAAATATAACTAAATAATCAAACTCACACACAATGAAACTAAATTTAAGATCTCTAAATTCTAAAACCTCCTCTTGCTGCTAAAAACTAACAGTTTTGTTACATGTGAGTTG